AAACCTCGATTGGCAAAGTTACTGACGCCTTGTTTGCCAGCTTACCTTTTGCTTGCTGGATTCCGCTACCATGACCACGCGAAGGATGAGGCTGGCTTGACTGGATTATTCGGTGCCGTCCATCTAGCGCTAAAGGATACAATATCGGTGTTTATTTTAATGCGCGTTTCTTGTTTTTTTTTTTTTTTTTTCCAGGGTTTCTGTTGTCATACCGTGATTTTGAAAAATTCTAGCTGCGATTTAGTTTGTTGCAAAGTGCTTGAAATCTTCAATTTCAGCGCACAAGTGACATGGATGTTTTGGCTCTATGGCTTGTCAATTCTTGGAGACTTTATAATCTTTTACGGCAATACAGTGGGGAAAGTAATAATGTAACGTCCATTTTTACTTATAAAAAGTGGTTTTGATGATTATTTCTGTAGGTTTTATGATATGCATTTAAATTCTAAATTTTTTGAAGGCAGTCACATTTTTATTTTATCTGTTATGCTCTACTTCTTAGTAACCCATGGCAGAACCTGATTTTGATAACTAGAACGGAATATTTGTAGGAATGGTCTGCTGGAAATACGGAGATGCAGAACAGCTATCGAATGCAGAGTTTTGATTTGGAGCCAATTCGAAATCAGTTGCGCGCCCGTGTTGAGGAATGTTTCCAAAACTTCATGAAACGAGCTGTCGAACCAGTTTTATCACCGAAGATAGGCATGTCTTTATCACTTTTTTTGCTGGTCCTCATTGCCAAGAAAGTTGCCAAAACTGTCTGTACGTGGATTATATAAAACATTAATTTAGTTCCCGGGATCCTCCAGCACGAAAGTAGCCATGACGCATTTATCCTCAGTGGTGACGACGGTGGTATGAAAAAGCAGGCCTCGAAAGACCAATCGTCTCAGAGGGCGCTCGACGACCTTATTGAACTCGTAAGTCAAATGTGCACAGCGTTTGCCAAAAAAGTTGCCTCTAGGGTAATTAAGTTTGATTTTCAGCTAAATTTTATTCACACTAAACTGAAATTGTACGGCGCTGACCCTGTACTGCTTGACCAAATCTTTGGACAGATGACATATTGGATTTGTGCTTTGGCTCTCAACCATCTCATGTTTCGCAAAGAGCTGTGTAATTTTGAGAAGGCAATCCAAATCAAGTACTTTTTACAAAGATTTTAATTGTTCTGGCTCTCTATTGTTAGAAATGCAACTATGATTGCACCTAACAGAGAAAAATCGACATTTAATTTAAGCATAATTTAAAACACGATAGCGCCGCCCAAGCACTTTTGTAGTCCTTACTTTAAACTCACACTTAGGCATAATGTCACGGAAATACAGAACTGGCTATTTGAAAAAGGCTTCGGGACTCACCGCGATACACTAGAGCCTCTGGTTCAAGCGTCTCACTTATTACAATCAAAAAAAGACGAATCAAATTTGGATACTCTTTGCGGTGACATGACTTCCAAGTTAAAGCCAAAGCAGGTGAGCATGCGATCATGTGGTGGTTCCCAAGTTTAATGAAGTCGAATAAGAATGACACTTTCATTACTTTCCGATGAGGCATTTAAGCCTACTCAAGTAAAAAATTAAGCTACTTTACAGGTGATATCAATCCTGCAACATTATGCCCCATCGGACGGATTCGAGGAGCGAAGAATGGACCCAGAATTCCTTGTTAAGGTGGCAGAAAAACTTGCTGAGAGGACAAGGCAAATGGGAGGGACGGAAGCCGACCAAGTAAGCCACCCTGTCTTGTACACAGCTTAACAAAGCACCGTAAAACACAAGTATTTTTTTTCAGAATGCTTTAATAATGATGGGCACTTACCTAAAACCTTTTGACTCGAAGCCGTTCGTCCACTCAGATTTCGCGCTAGAGATGCTCTCATTACCAACCTGCTTGCATCTTCAAACTGTCTGTCGTTTGCTATAGTCCCTACTCAAAATCATTTGTTCTCAACAGTACTGGCAACTGCAGTTGCCGTTTAGCTCAACTAAGTAACTTATTTGAAATCTGAAAGTAACTGTATGATGGAAGTGACATTTTTTCAAGTCATTTGTACCAGCATTTTTGGAAGTAAGACCACAATTTAATTAATTAACGGGTATTAAGATGATGACTCCCCTACCAATTTTTCGTGAGGAGCCCTTTAAGTTTTTTAATGGTTGGTTCTAAACTCTCTTGCAGTCCCAATTCTGTTTTAAAGAGTAATGCGGAACAGTCGTCAAAATGTATGGGAATGTGATCACTGTTTTGCAATTCTGTGATATACATGTCTGTAAGTAAAATGTATTTGAATTTACAATCAGTAACTAGTCGGATATACAGAACGGCATCAAGTAAAGAGTTTAATCACAGTTGTTGAAGCCAGCATTTGGATTAAAATTCCCCCATCCTACCCAAAATCATGATTTAGGGGGACGTAAAACGCAAACCTGCATCTGGATGCGACGCTGTGGACGTAATGAAATCAACTAAAATGGAAAAAGGCGGTGAATCATGTATCCGTGAACTCGTTTCAGTTAATTCCCTCTACTAAATAAAACTACAAACGGCGAAGGCCAGTTAGTGAAGCAGAGTTGGACCAAAATGTACAGTAGCGGCTCTTAAATAACTATATTAGAAACTCAAGTTCACGGTGCGAAGTTCAAGAGTACGTCAACTGGGGACAAACCACCAGGAGAAACAGGAATAACTGCATAGTGGGCGGGCCTCGCAGTGTCATAGTGTAACAAAATGTAGACGCAAATTCTTCCAAAAGCCTAATTGCGACTAGGCTTCCTTGTTGAGGCGCTTCTTTTTCGAGTACTTCTCCTCAGTTTCATTCTCACATCGTTATTGTCACCTAAAAAACAAAGCTCTGTACCAAAACGGCTACTCGTTCAGTAAAAACTAGAGATCTTTAATTGAGCCCCTAAATATTGATGTTCAGATAAAAAAACGACAATTTGCATACTAAGTGACTAAATGTAAAAAAAAAGAAAAAACGCTTGAGTAACTCAAGAACTGCACTAGCCAGTGACACATCGACAACTTTCATTCTAATAGCAAAATTTTAGTCCTCCTATACCAGTCACTACCATCTACAAATTTCTCCAAAACCCAAAGCTTTTCGCACTAATTGTAACAGTTAATTAAACGGGACCCGTTTAATATATGTTAAAAACTACCACGGCAACGTTTAGGAAAACTTTTGCTCAGCTCTACAAGCTTCCTTAACAGTAGCTGGGCACCTATCCCGTTAGTGAAAACGAAAACTACCCCATTAAATTTTTATATCTCGAGCCAATAAACTTTGGAGACCCATCAAAAAATAATCTTTTAAAGACGCGCAACACACACTTAAATTATCCATTAGCCTTGAATCGACTGGGCAAATAATTATTTTGAATTCACCAGTAAAAACGAAATCAAAAGCGAAAACCTTTGCTGTCGCACATATACACACTACCCAGTCTGAAAAAAAAAAGGTACGAATAAAAATAACAACGAGACCTTCACTGCTAACTCTCCGGGCAGGCCGTCTCCTCGATTTTCTAGTTTGATCCGTAGGAGGCTGGTTCTCTAAAATAATTCAAATAAAAAAAACTATTAATCTGGGGAATTATGTACCCACCACAAATATTTGTCTCAACTGTCTTCTCAAAAGGCGGTTCTTACGTATAAAGAATGCAATACAATTAAAAACAATTAAATTATGGTAACCTGGAAGGGTGTACTCGTTCTCCTTATTTACTTTTTCGTTTTCATCATCATTTGTAGTAGCAGGTGTCGTCGTCGATTTTAGCTGTTCTGCTGCAATATTATTATTTTTTTTTTTTTTTTTT